TCTAGTTTTAAAATATTTTAAAGATTATCTTGATGTTTTTTATAAAAATATATATAAAATTGAAATTTAGAAAAATAATTTTGAATTATTTATGAAATAATTTTTTTTAAGGATTAACATGATAAAAATAAAATATTATAAATTGTTATAAATATGATGTGAAATTATAAGGACCAAAATGAAAATAAAATATGAAACCTCAAATTTGAAGTTTGAATAGTGACATTCTATATTTGAAGTTTCACTACTCAAAACTTCAAATTTGAAGTTTTAAAATTCTTTTTTGGAGAGATAAAAATTTTATATTTGAAATTATAGAGTGTCTTTTGGAGATGCTCTTAACTGTAAAATATCTAAAAGAAAATTCATGTCAGATTTAACATTATATTTAATACATCTTACTCCCTCTGTTTCAATATAAGTGTCACTCTACAGCTATGCACACGGATTAAGAAAATAATTAATTTTACATATTTTCTATATAAAAACACAATTACCCATACACCTAACCATATTTTAACCAATATAAAAACAAATTACATAATAAAATTAATAAATTTTGCATTGAAAACCGAAAACGACACTTATTTTGTAACACAAAAAATTCTCTACAACGACACTTAATATAATACGGAGGGAGTATTTTTTATTAAAGTTTATTATTTTTAAATAATTAAGCTAGTTAGAACATTACATGTGGCTAGTAGTTATGTCAAGATGTTCTCTGAACATCTCCTTTGGATACAAAGTCAGTCTCTCTCATATTTTTATTAAATTTTTTATTTTCTTTTAATTTGATACCTTCAATTGCATACTGACTTCTTCACAAATAAGAATAGAAATGAGGTCATTTTTTTGGTACAATGAGGTAAAATAATTATAATAATGTTTAAACAAAGTATACATTACGTCATTTACAGTTCTTTTGGAGTGGAAAAATGTCAACGGCAAACAACGATAACATTTAAAACATAAGTAAGGAACAGAAATAATTAAAAGGGCTTATTGATGAGATAGCCAATTTTAGAGACAAAATTAAGAATATAGCATCTGATTTGACATTATTAGATCTCATAAAATTTTGTTCATCTTTTTCCAATTCTCTCCTTTCTTTAAACAAGTTGCCGTTAATAATTTTCAAAAAGCATCTATCATTTAAATAAAAATATTAGTAGAATAGTGGTAGTTATGACATCCACGTTAATTGTGGTGATAGGATATAAATAGAATAGATCATACTAAATAGTATAGTTTATATTAATAAATTTATAAAATCGTTTAAATAAATATATATATATATATATATATATATATATATATATATATATATATATATATATATATATATATATATATATATATATATATATATATATATATATATATATATATAT